TCCCTTCTCTTCCACTTTCCTCTCAGGATTTTGGACACACATACACATGCGACAGGCATGAGTTTTAAGCCAGCACGACCAGGACTTGAACCACGGTCAACTAAGTGGGAGCCCAGTGATGTAACTATTTTGCCATTTACTGGTCCCAATTTTAAATCATTTTAACTATGTTCAAACACATCTTTATTAATCAAAATAACAACCATTACAATCAACACATTTTTTGCCAATGAGAAATAGGTTTGTTTAGTCCGATAACATAAAAATCTGTGCTTCAGCAATTGATGGACTCTTGGAAAGCATCTTTCGCATCATGCTGTTTGTGGAAGTGTCTTCCCTGCAAAAAGTTATTGAGATGCTTGAAGAAGTGGTCGTCAGTTGGTGAGAAGTCATGTGAATATGGTGGACAAGGCAAAACTTTGTAGCCCAATCCATATTCAACTTTTCATCCATTGATTGTGCAACCTGTGGTTGGGCATTGTTGTGGGGAATTGGGCCCTTTCTGTTGATCAATACCAACTGCATTCATTGCAGTTTGGGATGCATCTCATTGATCTGACGAGCATACTTCTCAGATGTAATGGTTTCATAGGGATTCAGAAAGCTGTAGTGGATCAGACTCCACTGATCGGAGACTATGACCTTTTCTTGGTACAAGTTTGGCTTTGGGAAATGCTTTGGAGAGTCTTCTTGATCCAACCATTGAGCTGGTCTTCAGAGTTGTGAAGTTGTAAAATCTACCTTTCATCACATGTCACAATCTGATCAAGCAATAGTTTGTTGTTGTTGTATAGAATAAGAAAAGATGAGGTCAGCAGGTGGTGTGGTAGTTAAGGAGCTGGACTCTCACACAATAGACCACAGTTTCAGTTCTAGACCTGGTCTACTTGAAACTCATGCTGGGCACATGTGCATGCATACCAAAATCCCAAGAGGAGAATGGAGGAGAAGGGATTGCAGTGTGGTCATCCCCCTCGGAGGTGACTTCTCACTTTCTCTCCATTTCTCCCTGTCTTTCTGAAAAGCACACACATCCTATAGCAAAACTCTCTCTCTCTCTCTCTCTCTCACACACACACACACACACACAAAGAGATGACGCTTCAAATGACACATTTTTAAAAATTTCGATCATCTCATGAGGCAGCCACCTTTCAATTTGCTTCAAATGCCAAACAACCTAGAATGGTCAAAGTCGTGTTCTTCAGTAACTTCTTGTGTAGTTTTAAGAGGGTCAACTTCAATGATTTCTCTCAGTTGGTTATTGTCAACTTACAATGGCTGGCTACCACACTTCTCATCTTCAAGGCTCTCGTTGTCTTTGCAAAACTTTGAGACCAGCAGTTGGTGTAATGGTTATATTGCCGGACTTCTATGTAGTCGACTGTGGTTCAAGTCCTGGACCCGGTGGCTTAAACTCACACAAGGTGTGTGTGCATGCGTGCCCAGGATCCCGAAAGGAGAAGGGATTGTGGCATGACCATCCCCCTCAGGGGGTGATTTCTCACATTCTGTCTCCCTGTCTCTCTCTGTCTGTCTGATGAGTACCCGCGCCCTATAGCAATAACCTTTAAAAAAAAACAACTTCTTGAACCATCACTGCACTGTACACATGTTAGCAGTTCCTGAACCAACATGTTGATGTGCAAGTTCTCACTACTGTTTTACAACCCATGTTGAACTTCAATAAGAAATTGCTTAAATTTGCTTTTTGTCTAACATCATTTCCATTTAAATATAAAATATCAATATTAAATGGATAGCAAGTAGTAAATCATTAGAAAGAAAAGTGCAAAAACATGCATTATTAGGGTTGCCATTGCAAAAGACCATAGGTTGAATGATTTAAAGCCATATTTTCAATTTCCATATATGAGGGAGAACAAACTTAAATATAATTTCCTAATTCTGTTATTGTTTTCATCCATTCCACATGAGTTGTACGTAAGCATTTTTAGATTATCTTATTTTCCTAGAACTTTTCAGAAGTTTCATTTACTCCTGGATTGTACATACCATTTTTAATCATTTTCAAATACATCCATTCTTTTCATTAATCTTTTCTGAGCAGACATTTCAACATACACATTCGTAGTTCTTTCATTTTCAGTCTTATTGAAATCATTGCTATTATTAAAATGTCTTCTTAAACTTCTTTTTATTTTTCTTTGAGTCTTTAACAAATCTCTTTTTCTTTGAATTTCCTGAAACAAAGCTAGGGTACCTGCCTAATTTTGTAAAAACTTATTTTTCATTTTGTAAACTCTGTAATGGCAAAATTACTTTTCACATACTTTTCATTACTTACAATTCACTAACTAGCTCATTTTCTTTGTTGAAAATTAAATCTAAAGTAGCAATTTCTTCATTGTTTCTTCTAATGTAGGAAGGATAAAAATGTGCTTGTTGGCACTTCAATTAATCTCTTTCCTGTCACACTTTACCACATGCAGTCATGAGGATCCAAATTACTTCTTCAGTGTTTAGAAATCTCCTTATCTATAGGCCAGCCAAGGGTATAGACATTGGGGTGGCTGGATCCTATGTGGCCAACTGAATGGTTCAAATCCCAGACTCAGCAGTTTGAGAAACACTCTGGGCACATGTGCGTGCATGTCCACAATTCCAAGAAAATAATGAGAAGGAAGGGATTGAAGCATGACTATTCCCCGTGCCCCCTCCCCCCCCCGCCGGAAAGTGCTTTCTCACTTTCTCTCTCTCTCTTTCTCTCTCTCTCTCTGTCTCTCTCCAGCAAGCACACATGCCCTGTAGCAAAAGCTAAAAACTAAAACAAAAAAGAGAGAGAGGTTTCCTTAACTAAATGTCCAGATTATTACTTGCATGATTTACAGTCCACAAAATACTAATACATGAAGTTAAGTCAGACAAATTCTTTGCCATTTTATAACAAGAGTTGTCTTTCCTCTAGATTCAAATAGTCTAGTCCTTGCTTTTGCCTGAGTCCACACCAGAGTGGCCTTCGATGTCCATATTCTTTTTTTTTTTTCAAGAGAGATTTTTACTACAGGGCAAATGCATTCTCTAGAGAGATAGATAGAGAGAGAGAGAGAGAGAGACAGAAAGTGAGAAATCACCCTCCAGAGGGGATGGCCATGCCACAATCCCTTTTCCTTCATTCTCCTCTCAGGACTTTGGGCACACATGCATACACGCCAGGCATGAGTTTTAAGCTGCCTGGTCTGGGACACCAACTGCAGTCAACTACATAGGAGTCCAGCAATGTAACCATTATGCCATCTGATGGTCCCTTAATGTCCACATTTATATCAAAATTCTGTTTTTTTAATTTTTATATATTATTTATAAGGTAAAGACTTTTTCTCCAACTTATTTTTTCAGTTCTCACTAGAACCACCTTATGGTCCATATTTGTACCAATAACTCCCTCCATGGAAATCTTGAAAGAGACAAAAGGAAGAAGCACTTAACAGACAAATGAATGTACAGTTCTCTGTTGAAAAAACTATTCTTTAATTTTTGATTTATAAAAACAATAAAATAAAGAGCAAGCATACATAGTGTTTGGGTCATCAGAATAAATAGACTCATGAAATAATATGAAAATAGCCTTTATTTTTATTTACTCTTTCTTGTATTGTTTTCTGAATATCTTCTCTCTCTCTCTCTCTTTTTTTTTTTTTGAGAAAGATTTTTGCTATAAGGTGCGTACATTTGCCAGAAAAACAGAGAGAGACAGAGAGACTGAAAGTGAGAAATTACCCCCCAGAGAAATGGCCACACTGCGATCCCTTCTCCTCCATTCTCCTCTCGGGATCTTGGGCATGCATGCACATGTGCCTGGCATGAGTTTAAGCCACCAGGTCTGGGACTCAAACCATGGTCGATTACATGGGAGTTCAGTGACAGAGCCGATATGCCAACTGCTGGTCCCTCTGAATCTCTAAATTATAAAAAATAAATAAATAAAAATAAAAATAAAAAACCATTAGGCACTTTAAGATATTCTTTCATAATAAAGAAATACTAACTCTCAAATCTGGCTATCAGGAAATAAGAGTATCATTTGTTTAGATGATGTCTGTGTTCTTCATACTCACCTTCATAAAAGAGAACCATTTACCTAAGACCCAACCAACTGAAAATTCCTTAGGATATTATCAAGGTTTGTATGAAGCTATCAGCCTTCTTTCTATAATCTGGCTTCAATATTTTTCATGTATGAAGTGGTGTGTATTCTGTCACTTATAATCGTAAGACATAGCACAACAATTAGACACCCAAGTGGAAGTATCCAGTATGAACATGGAAGATTTACTGCTGAGTGAAGCAAGCCAGTCTATGAAGGAGTGACATTGTATGTCTCCACTTAATATATACCAACTGTCTACACTCTATGGCTGAAACTGAAAGACTAGAGGATATAGAAACATAGAAAATGGTTATAGATACCACATACAGTGTGGGAAGAGGGTGGAATAAGGGGAAGAGTCTAAGGAAAGACATTAAGGAGAAAAATAGAGAGGCAAGGCATTTATGGGACAAAGAAATGGGTTATTATCTATTGATGATAACATGTATAGTATCCCCAACTGGACTGGTAAGAAATGTATTCATGTTGAAACATTCACTTTACAAGCTAAGTGATGTATGTGATTAAATGTATAAAATAATAAAATAAAATACTTATTTTTTAGAAAAAAGTCAGGCAAACAAATGTGGGTTTATGGGGATGGCTTTGAGTAGAAACATATTTTGGGAGTTCATTACTATTTAAATGTTACTTAATTCATGCAATTGAATGAAATCCCTGTCTGAGTGTGAGTTCCCCCAAGAAAGCCTGAAGTCAGGACTTTAGACTAGTACTTTATTTTAGAGATGGTCTTAAGGAAGAAATGAAGGATCATGGATAATAAAGAAGAAAGCAGAAAAGACCAGTAAAAGTTTATATTTTTAAGTAGTCACTGGCTTAGTCAGTCAGAACTTTATGTACTAGAACCTCCTTAAAAGTATGTTAATGTCCTGGCCCTTTCTGAAGCTGCAGCTACTTCAAGTAGCTGCTGGGGTCAAAGAGGAGCAAGAGTGTCACTTTCCTCTGAAGGTCACTGTTTGGTTTGCGATAGCTGATCTGTAACATTGAGGGTAAAGACAGAATTGGACCCAGTTCACAGGACCAGCCAGGGCTTCCAAGGGCCCACACAGTGAGGGAGGGAGTCGAAGCAGCTTGCTGGATGGCATGGAAGGGCCTTGTTGGCAAATGAGGCCACTGTGCTGGTTCCAGCTGCACATGGCCTGTAGTGGGTGGCCTTCAGCTCTCAAACCCGCTAAGGAGAGTGTGAAGGTCATTCAGGACAATTCTGCTGTCTCAGCCTTGCAGGGGGAAGAGCCAGGGTAAAGGCAGACCACATTTCTGGAAGAGTTCCCCAAGACTCCAGTGATGGACAGCTGCATCTGGGGCCTGGCAGGTCAGGTGCAGAGTCGCTGGAGTCAGTTTGCTCCGTGAATGTTGGAGACCAAGGCCTATGTTCTGGTATGTGAGCTGGGTCTACACAGCTGGGAAACATAGGAGAAGGAGCAGCAGAAGGAAAAGCAAAATTTCTGGTGGAAACAGCTAATATTGCATCTACAAATGGCCAATAAAAGACCCTGCAAGTTTCAAAAAAAATTATTTTAATGCTTCCAAGTATTGTCCTGCTGGAGGATTGTCCAGGAGAAATATCACCAGCTCTGTCCCCTACTGGTTAAACCCTTATCCTGGGGCAGTAATTCACTGGAACTTCCAGACTGAGCTTAAGTACTGGATAGATAGGTTCCCACACAAAGTTTAGGAGAAGTCTCAGGCAGGAATTAACAGTGAAGTGAGAGCTACAACCTGATGTGGATAGAAGCCACACACGGCACACTCGGCCGTAGACCTGGCCGGACTCGGAAGTGAGACAGACCACAAGAGGGCCCTGAGAAGTGGGCAGCATGGAGACCCACCCTACAGTGCCCACTTGTTAGATGTTGAGGAAGTAAAGAACACCTAGCAAAGAGACAGGAGCAGGCAGAGATGTAGAAGGAAACTGTTTCCAACACTGTGCCAGACCAGGATATAAGGCATTAGAAGACAGACAGATGAAGTCTGATGTTTGAAAATGGAACCATCATGACTACTCAGGCAGAGAGTAAGAAGATAAATTCTGTCCCAGGTGGCGTTTCTGGCCTAATTTGGAGCACTTTAACAAATGTCTTGTCATCAACTTAAATCAGAAACAATATTTACAATGGTGGGCATTAGTTTATGTTCTCATTTTAATAGTTTCACCACGCTTGTGCTCATTTTCTTTATCATTATTATTGTTATTCATACGTTAAATCGCTATACATCATTTAGATTGTGAAGAGACTTTCCCCAGCATGATAGACTCCTCAGTCCAGCCCAGTTGAAACCACCATACACATCACGTCAACATAGAATTTTTGTCATTTGACTATCTCCACTATAACTTTCAGAAAAAGGAAAGTGGTTAGTCTTTGTTTAGTTGAAGTAATGCAAAACGAAATCTCTGAGTCAAGTAACTGAAAATGTTAGCTTTCCTTTTTTCAATTATTATCAGAATATCTTTCTATGTACCTTTCTGCCGTGTGCATGTGCTCCACAGAAGCACTGTTTTGAGAACCACAGGTGAATATTCCTGAATTGTAACTGACAATTCTTCAAAGCAGGCAGTGAAGTGGAAAGACATAGTGAACATATGAGGTCCAGTAAGGTTCATGCAGCACCTCCAATATTTAAAATAAATAAACTGACATGAAAATGTGCACAAACTTTGTAGTAAAAATTATAAAACCACTGAGAAACACAAAGGAACAATGAAATGAAAATGGAAAAACCTGCTTTTTTCCCTTTGACACACAGTAGACTGCATTACTGCTTTGCCACAGAGGCAACCCAGACCTCTGGTTTTGAATGGTGTAGCTACAGGGTCCTATCAGGAATCACAATTCACATTTAGAAGTGATTGAGGGCCAACAGTGGTGGCACAGTGGTAACACGATGCTCTGTGATGCTGGACCCTCTTGGAAGGTCCTGAATTCATGTCTGAGGGTCTCCCTATACACAGTGAAGTGTATGTACCTTGGAGGGTAGCTAGTTAAGATGGGGGGTGACCACAGTGTGAAGACCCTGGTGACATAGCTTCCTCTCTCTCTCTAATGAGAGAAATAAAATAAAAGCATTTTTTAAATTAATGGTTACATATAGGGATCAGCAGATGGTGTAATGGTTTCACCACGGGACTCCCACATAGTTTACTGTGGTTTGAGTCCCAGACCCAGTGACTTAAATCTCTTGCTGGGCACATGAGCGTGATTGCTCAAGATCCCAAGACGAGAATGGAAGAGAAGGGATTGCGGCATGGTCATTCCTCCTGTGGAGTAATTTCTTGCTTTCTGTCTCTCTGTTCTCCAGGGGGCCCTATAACAAAAATCTCTCTAAAAAAAAAGAAAAAATTGGGACCAGCAAATGATGTGGTGGCTAAGGATACTAGATTCCCACAAGGTTTAAGTCCCCTGGCAGCCTTTCTCAATATAGATAATAAGGAACCACCAGATGGCGTAATGGCTATGTCACCAAACTACGATGTGGTCCACCGCATTTCAAGTCCTGGACCTGGTGGCTTAAACTCATGCCAGGCATATGTGCATGAATGCTCAAGATCCTGAGAGGAGAATAGAGGAGAAAGGATTGTGGCTTTGCCATCCCCCTGGGGGGTGACTTCTCGCTTTCTGTCTCTCCTGTCTCTCTCTGTTTTACTGGCAAGTGCATGTGCCCTATAGCAAAAAAAAACTAAAAAAAGAGAGAAATTATATATACTAAAAGAAAAACTCACATAGGTCCTAAGGTTGGGTAATGTAGAACAAACTATGAAGATGAAGCAACCTGTGGTTTACAAGGATGGAGACATAACCCACTCTAAACCTGGAGGATCAAGAGCAGGAGGCAGTTAGTCTGAACTGAACAGCAGGAGACGGCTGTGCAGTAAGATCTGAAGGATGCAGCCACTGTCACATGATGGCCCCATGAGAATAAAGGAGAGAACAAATAACCAAGCCCTGCCCTTCATTGCCCCTTGATTCCTTATGTGCTTGTAGTGCCCATGCCCAGTAGGAATGGGTCAGACTAGTTGATGAGATCCATAAAAGTCAAACTCCTAGGATATGCAACATAGAAAGGAAAGGGAGATGGATCTGGATAGGCAACCAGAGATAATCCCGAACAAAAAGACTACATTCGTAAGTTTTATAATGTAGTACACAGTGATCTCTAAAGGTAACATAAAACCAACTAAGTCCAGTGAATTTTTTAACTTGGAAAAAACTATTCTAAAGTGAACCTAGAGTAATAAACATGTGCAGCATGGGTGATTTTAAAATAAATGAGTAATGGAGTAAAGGGGTTATTTGCTCTACAAGATATAAAAGTTATTATGTTGTTACATAATAAAATTAATGTGATGCTGGTGGGAGAACAGAACAATACATTTATTTGTTAAAACAGACAACCCAGTGATAAATCCAAGCATGTATTAAAATAACAGCATTTACGCTTTGGTCTCCCACATCGCACTGGTTCCACAGGAATTATCAGATGAGGCTAGAAGCAGGTCTCAGGATCAACCCCTGCCTCTCTCTTATCTCACAGCTGGACACAAGGAAAGCCGGCTTTCAAGTCTGTGACTTTTCCTTCTTTATATTAAGCCTAATCTGCTCAACCCTACTGTTTTAGGAACAGAGTTTGAGAAAGGATACACTCACCTTGAGATAGTAAGACTCCGGAGAAACTATTTCTCATTCTCTCCTCTGGAGGAGTAAAAAGAATCTTTATTCTTTGAAGTCAAACTCCCAAAATGCTAATGTGTAGTCTAGTACTCCCTCTCACAGTCCAGAGAAACTGGCAGAAAGCCAACACACCCTGTAGAAAACAGCTACAGAAACCCACTTACATAAAAGGAATTTAAAAAGAGGAAGAAGTACTTATCTTACCAGATGCCTAAAAATCACAGCAGAATTCCAAGAAATATTAAAAACTGGGCAATTTCTTTTTCCCAATGGAATATGGTAAGTCATCATTGACAAAGGATAAAACACTTGAAATCACAGAAATGTAAGAAAAAGAATTACAGAGGCTAGTAGATGGCATGATGGTTAAGACAGTGGACGTTCATGCAGAGAGCCACAGTTAAAGTCCATGATTTGACAGCTTGAAACTTATACCAGGTGTGTGTGCATGAATGCCCAAGATCCCAAGAGGAGTAGGGATTATGGTGTGGTCATCCCCCTGGAGCATCATTTCTTGCTTTCTGTCTCTCTCTTTCTCTCTGGTGAGCATGTGTGACCCATAGCAAAAATCTCTCAAAAAGAAAAAAAAAGGAAGAAGAAAAAGAATTCCAGATATGCATCATAACTAAACTTAATGAGATGCAAGGGAAAATGGACAGCTAATTCCAGGAGATAAAGAAACCATTCCATGACTTGAGGAACAAGTCCATAAAGAGACAGACTCCCTAAAATGAATAAAATAGAACTCCTGGAGATAAAGACTGTAATACAGGAAATCAAAACTTCCCTCAAAAATATTAACACTAGATTATACCATGCAGAAGATAGATTCTCTCACCTGGAAATCAAAGGCCCTGACTTAGACAAAACCAGTGAAAAGAAAAAGAAATTAATTAATTTTAAAAAAATGAGGACAACATATAGGAAATACTAGACACTGGGGCCAGCAAGTACCATCGTGGTTAAAGGTGCTAGACTCCCAAAAGGCTGACTGCAATTTGAGTCCCAGACCTGGCAGCTTGCTCCCTCACTCTCTCTCTCTCTCAAATTAAAAGTAATAATAATAAACAAAGTTAAATACAGTAACTCCTTAAAAAAATACTAGACACCATTAAATGCCTAAATATGAGAATAATAGATATTCCAGAAGATGTGTACACTTCAGATTCTTACCTAATAAAGACATAGAAAATCTATTTTATGAAATACTTGCCAAAAACTTTCCAAATCTAGAGAAACATTCAGACATCTAGATTCAGAAAATACAAAGAATGGCAAATAGAATCAACAGAAGAAGATGCGTCTCTTGGCTCACCATAGCCAGATTGTTA